GTCATAGATGTCTCTAATTTCTGATCCAGTACATACGTATCCCTAAGCGACAGGTTTTGTGGAAAAGCGTACGGATTTGCAATATAATGATGATGGAAAATCTACGATAAATGAGTTGATGGAAATACAAATAAAAATAGTAGAAAAACGTAGACAATAAACAAATTTCTGAAAACCTAATGAAAAATCGAGCGATAAGTGGATCGTGTATGAAAGAAATGCATTGAAAATGTATACAAATTAATGGTAGTTCTTCCAAAATTACAGAGTAATCGAGAAAGCATGTAAATGCTTGAAAATGTAAGGTAAATGTTTTGAGCTTCTAGCCAATGAAAAAGATATTGAAAAGGATCGCAATAAATTTGTGGAAATCTGACTAAAGCGCATTGTAATGCACGGAAAAGCTTAGTCAAAGGGACCCCTTAGATGGTACTTCTGACGCGTGTCTGTGCTCGTCGGAAGCTCCATGGGGATTTCGCGCTCCTAGGGGGATTGTTCCTGAACGCCCCACCGCTGAGCTCGCAGTGTCTCACTGCAGGTCTCAGTTGTGGGGTTAAGTTATTATGTAGGTAGGATACCTGACATTAAGTTATTATGTAGGTAGTATTCCTTACATCAAGTTATTATGTAGGTATGATTCCTTACATTAAGTTATTATGTAGGCAGGATTCATTACATCAAGTTATTATGTAGGTAGGATTCCTTACATTAAGTTATTATGTAGGTAGGAAGGTAGGATTCCTTACATTAAGTTATTATGTAGGTTGGATTCCTTACATTAAGTTATTATGTAGGTAGGATTCCTTACATTTCCCTCGTCTGTCTCTCTCGTGCGGGCGGCCGACGTCCCGTATAAGCGACCTCTTGTTCGAGTGTCTTAGTTTCTGTTGCTTTTCACCTGTCCCTCCTTGTCACTTCGTCTCTTTCAGATGCTAACGCTGCTTCTTTCGAGCCAGATTCAGCGGGCTGGACAATTGAGACCCTCCGCCCCTTGTGGGTGATGATTAATTTGAGATTTTGAATAATTGAGACCTTCCGCCTTGCAGGCGATGTTTTATTTTGACCATCGGTGCAAAATAGCTAGACAGCTAGAGCGCTAGCAAACCATTATACTACTACTAGTCAAAAGGAATGCGCAAAACTAACGGAAATTTCATTGAAAATTTGCTGATGATATACAGCGTATGAAAAGTAAGCGAATGGGAGAAAAAAACTAGCTAAGAAAATTGCTTCGAAATTCGCTCCACGAAGAGAATATTGTGTGACGTCTGGTATCCGTGATACCTTGACAGGCTTCAAACTTGCACTGTTCAAAAATGTAGTCATGAGAAGCAAGATATCTTCTGAAAATACATCTTGAAAATAACAGCAAAACTTCCACCACGAGTAATTATATTTTCTAACAAGCCATTATAATAAGTCAGTGAAGTTATCGGTGTCATCGTTGTTTAAACCGCTGAACTTACTTAGAAAAATACTCGAACTATGAGCATCTGAATGTAAATTCGAAATTTTTCAAATGCCGATGCATAACCAATTTAGATTGATAATATAACTTTCAATTATTTGTATCATTACATTGCTTCAATCATAAATTAACAAACAATTAAAAAGCGACGAAAATGCCAGAAGAATGTTCTATTTTTTATTTGGAATCTTCTTCGCTTCTGGAATCTACTAAGACGGAGAACGATTGACTAATCAACTCAGAGAAGGAATAATCTGAAGACCTCCTGCTTTTTCAACCTTTTATTTGAGCAAAAAGCCTGCCGTTCTAATGAGACTACCCGTCAGCTCAATGACATGACATTATTACTACTTCAACATGCAATAATTTCTTCCACGCTAAAGCGTCAAATTATTTTCAATTTTCCCCAAGTTGCGTTCTTTTTCAATTTCGCATATCAAAGGGTAATTTAAATCCTAGCCTTGGGAGGCATCTCCTAGGACATGACAAAAAAAAAAACGTAAATTAACGGCTTGGGAACTTGTGAAATGTTTCAAGATTTCACTGTGAAATTATTTCTTTCCATAACCAACGTTCGACATCCAGAAGTCTAGAAAATTCCTTCTAGATAGTAGATAATAAGTAGATAATGGTAGATGGTCGTTCATGTAGAAGGCACAAAACAAGCCCCAAAGTCAAGCGTAATATCAATACCATATTTACTTCTAAGAAAAATCCCAACCGAGTAACGTTACAAACTTAACATTGCACCCGGCAATTTACATACAAAGCATAAGCACATATTTTACACATGATATTATACCAATCGTCACCATCGTCAACTTAATTGAGTAAATCAGTGGCGATCATCACGAACTAATTTGATTCCAGCTAAACTGATTTATGGAATTTGTGAAAATTACTCTGTGTAAAACGTTACTCCAATAAATCAATGAATGTAGAATCCATAGAAAGGATAATTTTTTCTGGTGTTCGGTCTACACAGAGCGCACAAAAACATTCTATTCTCAAGTTATGTACATAAAAAATCATATTTTAAACACAGTAAATACCTGAGTCACAATGAGGCACTCTTCTGGAAGCCCAGAATGATTGGCCTACTGCCGACTAAGAGTTACATAATTACCGAATCTTAGAGCTTATTTACTCTTAAAAATGGAGCATTGCAGTAAATTTTATAGTATTACTCAAGTGGTTAGTAAATGAGTACATATATAAGAAGGCATTCCGAGTATTCGGCATTACCAGCTTAGCCTGATCACAAAACAACCTCAGTTCAATTATCAATATTAATTACACTTACTTAAATAATTTGTCGGTGGATGTTCAAATCAGACGTGAGAACAAATATTTTATAAATTTACAATTACAATCAACAAATAAAGTTAGGAGTGCGCAAAAAAATAGAGATAAACAGTTGCCATCACTATCTTTTCGCGAGCAGACGGGAAAGAAGTGCGGTCAAAAGTTTGTTACTCTAAAATTTAGAATATTTGATTTGAGCTGCACATCACATTCGTAGACTTCCAGCAATAGTGGTCAATACTGGAAAATAAAATTACTTATTCCTCGAAACGGATATTGTAATCGTCAGGAAATACTAGCTAAATAATATAGATATATTGCCAGAGCAGACTGATATTAGAGCATTTGTGAGATAAAAAGCTGCCAGCAAGATAAGAGACAGGAGAAGAGATGCGGCAATTGCAGAGTCTGTACTATGACTTCTCTGAAGATGCTCGACTCCGAAAGCCACAGCGTTGGAGACGGCGGGATTATGCATTGTATGACAGCTACATGGTATGAAAGTACCATGGACACATGGGTATGAAGGTCTCACGGGCACATGGGTTTGAGTGTACCATGGGCACATGGGTATGAAGGTTCCATATTTATGAGGGTACCATGTTCACATGGATATGAAGGTCCCATTAGGCACATGGTTGCTGATTTTCAAAGGTATAATGCTATCATCCATTGGGAAATGGACCATTCTTGGCGGAAATTAACGTTGCAAAAAATTGCTCATTTGACCTCGCGAAAAGGTTAGCGTTTGAACAGCTAAGTAATTGAATTCTCTACGCTAGTCTTCAGAAGACATCACCCACTTAGTAATAGTTTAAAATATATTTATTCCTTATTATTAATCTTAAGAGAAGGCTATTGCACATTCATTTGTATAATAAATCATGGCGAGATCGCAAACTCATTGATTTCAGAATGACATGGCTCTTGCTGAACTCATTGTATACTTGCTGTATTCATTGTATACTTGCTGTACTCATTGTATGCTAGCTGCACTCATTGTATACTAGCTGCACTCATTGTATACTAGCTGCACTCATTGTTCACTTGCTGTACTTACAGTTTGTACAGAACATAAACACGTTCCTGATCTGGCACGGTATCTATTAAATAGGACAAGTGGCAAACAAGTTTAGGTCACAAAAGTTTAAATTACCCAGAAGAAAAAGTAAAATGTTTTCGTAAGAGGTATCAATCGAACATAAAATATCACAAGAGTAATAGAAAAACATCCCACCAATCCATCGTTGCGGGCACGGATGTGAGAACTTGTGTGATATTGAGTATCTTTTTGTGACATCGAGTGTACATGCATCCAAGTATCATTTTATTCTTGTTATATTCTTTATCAAAGTACCACAGCACAACTCGTGATCAGTTTAAATAATATGCGTTTAAAAATTAATTTTTAAAGACAACACTTCCAAAGAATCCAGTGTCTCCAATCTCACAAATGTACAACGAATTTCTCATTTAATTTTCAAATTAAAAATTTAGTTTTTCAATTTTTTTTAATAAATAAATTTTTTAATATATAATTTTTTCAAAATTATTTATTCTGTTAATTGATTCATGCATTGCCTCTGACTTCACACAAGTGTGCAAAATTTCAGATCCATCAGACAGGTAAAAGTGTGTCAAATATCAGTTATAAGATTTGTAGCTGGCAAAATTATTTTTTCAATTTTTTTAATATTAAAAAAAAATTATTTTTTTTTTTAATTTTTAAAATCTTTTATTTTGACATTTGATTCATGCATTGTCTCCAACTTTACACAAGTGTGCAAAATTTCAGGTCGATAGGATAAGTAGAAGTGTATTAAATTTCGATTACAAGATTTGTAGCAGACAGACAGACAGACAGACAGACAGACAGACAGACAGACAGACAGACAGACAGACAGACAGACAGACAAGAAGTGAAGTTAAAGAGAAGTGTTGTAAAATGGTTTACGACTGGCATATCTAACTGGCTCTAAATTTTATACCTCGCTTAATAATTATCAAAATTTCGTGACATTTTGTACGCCTTGGGATGATTAGGCTGGGCTGGAGCTCAAGCTAAAGCTAATTCTAGTTAACGCTTCTAATGAATTAAATTCCACTATAAATTCAACAAGAAATATATGCTATCTAAATTAATTTGTAACAAGTTTACCGATTTACGATTTCGGTTAAAACTACTATAAAAAAAGGCATGTGTTATATCACTTATATGCAAACGAAATGCATTACTGATTGCTTATCATATCAAACGCTTCCAGTTAAAAGAAAACATGATTTAATGCAATTCTTAATGAGATGCTCATCATAAACAAACTAGAGTAAATACCAAATTTACGAACAACTCCCAACAATTACAGCTCCAAGTAAAGCCATGATCACGAGACAAACTCACCCCTGCACACGTCCATTATAAGTAATTCAAAGGCTATTGCGCTATATTTTTTTAAAATCCAATCCAACTAATTACGTAATTTATGAACCACCACACGAATTAAATTCGTTAATAAGAGCATAATTATAAGACAAACTCATTCCTGCACACGTTCGTGACCAATATTTTGATGGCGATTAGTATCATACCCTGCCTTTTTCCCTTCCATAATCAACCAAAGCATAAACGCAATTCATGAAACACAAAGAATAGAGAGAACAGAAGCGGCATCACAAGACGAACTCTTCCCTGCACTTGTCAGCGATCATCTTGGCGATGGCGAGCGAGGAGGTGGCCCCGGGGCTGGGGGCGTTGCGGCAGTGCAGCACACGACTCGCCACCTGCTCATCAAAGGCAAAAGCTTATATTGACCGCCACTCTCAGGTACAAGCATTATAATGAAAGTCAACTACGCGGCATTAGTAGTTGAATCATCAAATAGTTAATGCACGACAATTGAATCATCAAATAGTTAATGCACGACAATTGAATCATCAAATAGTTAATGCAAGACAATTGAATCATCAAATAGTTAATGCATGACAATTGAATCATCAAATAGTTAATGCATGACAATTGAATCATCAAATAATTAATGCAAGACAATTGAATCATCAAATAATTAATGCAAGACAATTGAATCATCAAATAATTAATGCATGACAATTGAATCATCAAATAATTTATGCATGACAATTGAATCATCAAATAATTAATGCATGACAATTGAATCGTCAAAACTTAATCTGGTAACTCTATATATCACATTGAAAGTTAGGTCCTTTTATATACAAATGCTACTTAGTTAAAAATCAAGACTTATTACAGACTTAGTTTCTAAATTAATTAATAATAACTAAATTGAAATTAAATTGATAATGATCAATTGAAACATGGTCATAAGGAAGTTGACATTTTAACAATGGTCGTAAATTCAATCGATTGTCAGTATTTCAGACAAATAGCAACTAGACATTAAGTATAAGTTTTGCGTTACATCGAATAATGAGGTGGGATAGACTACCAGATCAGCGTTTTGACGTCAGAAGCTTGTTTTAAAATAAGCCTAATGTAGTATGGAGGCTGGACACAATATCTGATCAGGGTCATGGACCCCAGAAGCTTGTTGTGGGAATAACTCAACATCAGGTATGGAGAATGTCCTGAATACCTGACAAAGAATAACCCAACACCAGGTAATGATACAAGACAATAACCCAACAATGACAATACAAGACAACCCAACACCAGGTAATGATACAAGACCTGGTCAGCGTCCTTGACGCCGTCGCCGCGGCTGAAGACGAAGTCGTCCTCCAAAGACCCGTCAGCGTTGAGCGCCTGGGCGCGCACTCCTGCAGGGCCTCGCCTGATGTCAGCAGCTGTAATGTCCGGCATGTACTCTTGCAGCTTTGCTACCTGAACAAATATATATCATTGGTTATTAGCTGTTAGGTATAAGAAATGAGGAAAAGTATTGCAGGCAGCCACAATATCATGAATGTACTTGAGCAGTTTTGCCACAACACATGTACGGTAAAAAGCTGTTCGCCCAAATATACTACGTAACATAAAGAAATATTCATTGCAGTCATGATGTCGTGAATGAATTTCAGTAGCTTTGGTGCCTTGGTAATCAACCTGCAAGTTGATAGGAGATATGATGAAAACATGCTAGCTCTCGTTTCATATGAAATGTATTTCAGCAGCGTAATTCTAAATTAAATAATAGTAGTGCATAAATGCGCCTTGGAAGGGAATTTACTTTCAGCCTTTAGCGTCTCTCGTGCAGACGTGACAATGAGGAATGCTTCCTGCAGCTGTCTTAGTGATATAATGACAGACAGTTAAGTGCGGTAGCTTTAAAAAAACTTTGAGGACAAAAACAGTACCTACCAGTATTAACATTTTAAAGTAAAGACATCTAGTTAACATGCGAGAAAAAGTTACTGAATAAAATCGAACCTGTAGCCGCGGGAAGGCTGATCTCATGACTTCCTTCAAACCGAATGAAACAAACTTGATAGCAAGTCGCTGGAAACCTCGGAATGTCAAAGCCTCCCACGTATCCTTTATGCTGATGTCGCTCCACCTGTCAGGTTGAACAAACTAGCTGTAGCAGAGACAATAGATAAAATAGATTACAGTTGCCTTCAATATGCGGTTATGGCTTAAAAAACGACACCATAATACCGCGTGTGAACGTGTGTATAGAATCCATCAATTAATAAAGATGGTGCGTGAGGAAATGCTTGTTAGAGCAGGCATTTTCTGCGGCACAAACAAAAAATATCAACCAAAATGAAACTAGCACTCCCAAGGATAAATCCCTATAAGTTCAGATATTTAATTAGAAGTTAGTTCGGGTGAAAGTCAATAGTGATGAAGTGGTTGTTTAAATTTCATCACTGTGCTGGAAGTAGTTTACAGAACTATACCCAAATCAGACAAAAAATGGTTATATTACTCCCATTATCGCAGAGCTTACTTGTATCCCTCCCTCTTGAGAGCAAGAATGGCGTTCGGCCCCAGCCAGATATCACCGTTCATGCGCGGTGTGAAGTGAACGCCCAGGAAAGGAAAACGCGGGTCTGGCACCTGCGCATTGTACATGTAGCTCAGAATAACAATGAAAATCGTGTAACTAATTTTATTCCAAGGTCGAGAAAAACATGTAAATTACTATGAAAAAAATTAAAATATTTTATTCAAAATACGTTAGGTATTCAAAAGTAAGTTAAATTTAGAAGTGGTAAGTTGACAATGGGAAGAATTTCCAATTTAAAATCATATTGCTCGAGTGACTGCTAATTATCGTAGGTAATGACTGAGGAAAGAAACATACTGGATAAATGTTGGTGGTAACAAGATGGCTCTTCTCAGGGCACAGCAGGAGATATTCTCCCCTGAATGGCAGGATGCGGGGCTCTGATGAGCAGCCAGTCAGCTTAGCAAGGCGGTCGCTCTGGAGGCCTCCGCATGTCAGCACATAGCGGCACACCACACTCTCGTAGATAAAAATACAAATTAGTCCACTCTCATATATCAGTACGGAGGAGAAAACTACACTCTGGTACAAAATTATAATCAAGAGCAACCAACCAATCCTCATCTGGGATAGCGGCAGACTGCATTTTTGTTAACAATGAATCGAAACTTGTAATACCCCACTAATGACTGCATAATACAAAGCTCTTGCTACATAATGAATAAAAAAAACAGATGATTCCAGTATCATTTCATGGCATAGCGGCAGCGATAGCGATATACTACACACTGATTTATAATAAATCTAAATACCCCTTTGATATTCCAACCCCATGTCGTAAATAACCTAGGTATACACAACAGATGCATCAACAAGTGTTTGCAACAAGAATTAAATGAATTATTTTTCATTTATATAAGCATCTTAAAGATTACATGCAACTCACCTTATTTTTCATGTTGATCCGGACGGGATAGTCGCCTTTATTTGACTCAAAGCCAAGCACCTCAGCATCAGTGTGAATGGTGCCGCCTCTGTCCACAAAATTACGAGCATAATGTTCAGTGACGAGGCCCCAGTCAACGATGCCAGTGTGGGGTGACCACAGAGCTCGTACTCCCTGTAACAACACTATTGCTTGAACATTAACTTTCAAATACTAAAGTAAACAAAAAAACTGAATTAAATCAATATTCTGAACTTTAAAATACATTTTATTGAATATAAATAGTTGAAGGAAATAGATGAGGTGTCTTTGTTCTATGCAAATCGTCTCCTTAAGGCAAAAATGACATAATTTAATCAACATAGAATTAACAAACAATGCAGCAATTACAAATGTATATCTCACCCGGAAGTTTGGTGCTATTTCTTTAATTTGCGCTGCATCCAACATAACAACATCAGGGACATTGTTACGCTTAGATCGTTCATGCAGCTCATCCAGCCTGTCCAGCTCCGAGTCATCCACTGCAACAATCAGTTTACCACACTTCCGGTATGGTATACCTGGTGACAATGTGTATAAAAAAATTATAAATACCTTTGCACTAGTTTAAAATGTAAAAGCAAAGCATGCACCTTGGTTTTAGAAGACCTAAAAATATGTTTTGTCATAAAATATCAAGGACACAATTTCAACAGAAATTATTAAGATAAAATTGAGTTTAATTAGACAAACTCACTAGGTACTGGAAAGTACGGTAATGTATTCATGTGAACTCACCTTCTTGATCACAATACTCGTATGCCATGTGCATGCCCTCGACACACAACTTGGCCTTGAGAGAGCCAGGCTTGTAGTAGATGCCTGCATGTATGACCCCACTGTTGTGGCCGCTCTGATGTACACCTGAAATAATGGAGCTTAAAACAAGTGATATTACTCCAAACCTGTAGTTATAAGAGCGCATATGTACAAAATTCACAATTTTAAAAGAAAATTAGCAAAATAAATACAGAGATAAGATATTCACATAGCAGAAATCATCTAGCCATGAGAAAAAAATTAGTTTTATAAATCAGCAGTTTATTAGCAAACAGAATATATTGTTTGTAACACTGTTTTCCTTCAAACTATCTCTCAACTTAATTCTTTCGCCATTAGTGGAATCCATGATGCCCAAGTTGTGTTGGCTGTGCAAACATAGGAGCAAAAAAAAATTAAATACTTCCAGAGAGTTTCTTCCTTGCCAAAAATGCCATGCACAAATTCTGTATTTGTCTAAAAGAGTTTTCTCAGTAAGCTCTAATCTATGAAAGTAATGCAACTGATGCAACATCAATGGAAAAAATGGATCATTGAAAACTATTAAATACAAACCTGGCAACCTAATTAATTAAATGAAAAATATTACTGCCATGATGAAATTATAGAAATGATGGTTTCTATATGTACTTAATATCAATCCAGCTGGATTGCTTGCTTGGCCCAAAATTTAGATTAAGGGAAGAGGAAAAAATAAAGGGATGGAAAATTTCCAAATTCAACATGCAATATCCACATATTACCACTTAAAATGCATAAGTTGATTACCTCTCCAACATGCAATGTATACTCAGCAGATTATTAACTATCAGGAATACACACTAAATGAACATAGCTCACCAACAGACTTTTCCTTCTCCAGAACAGCCAGAGTCAAATGTGGATGTCGTCCAGCCAGCTCCCTGGCAGTGGCTGCACCCACAATGCCTCCACCAACCACAACCACATCATAATGAGGCTCATTTGAGCTGCCACTGTAAAGAACGAGGTAATGAGCAATGCATCATAATGAACATGCATTTATATATAATTATTCTCATGCAGTCACACACAGGTTCACCTATTTCAAGGTCACCCCCAAAAAATTAGTTTTAAAACAATCCATAACAAATCTTATCATTGAGTTTATACACCTATTTGTTTTGAAGATTAGAGTTATTTTTAAGAATGAGTTGTGAAGTTGCATAAGCATTATAAATAGATTTAATTTTTGATGAAGCATACTCATTTAGAATTATGATTTTGTTAATATAAACCCAAATCCAAATTATCCAATTATGAAACATCAGGTAAGAACTTTCAGCCTTCAAGGAGTAACAAAAAGCAGGGGTAGGAGGCTAGGAGCAAGGCAGCAATTTTATAAACTGTCTGTACATGAAAAATAATTAAAGTAGGTATCAGAAGAAAACACAATCCTAGAATTGTGAACTGAGGATTCAAATCAATACCATCAATGTCACATAAGCCCATACTCAGCTCAGTATGCATTCAACATGCCGCTTTATAGCACAGTGGCACTGATCAATCAATCAATCATTCAATGAAAAATAAATGATGCTGGTCAAAAATGAAAAAAATAAGCTTTTGATCAAAAAATGAAATACAGTGAAGCTGATTGAATAGGATAGAAATAAGGAAATTTCAGTTCTATTTGATGGGTAAAAATATCATTTAAATTGGGGCATTGAAAATTGGCAAGTTGAGTGTTGTAATTTGAAAGTCCTGGGTGTCAATGAGACAATGAAAATTGACATTAGTCAGTCATATTAAATTGAAAAACATCATAGAACATACTAGGGATTTAACAAAATATTAAATGAAAAATTATAGGTGCATGAACAAAATATATAACCAAAAAGTAAAAAATCTGACCTGAAACTTCGCGTAGCGTTAGAGGGTAGAGCTATTGGAAAACGGTATCTAATGCACACTCGGAACATGTTTAATGGGAATTCATTAATAGGGACTGCAATTGTTGACAAACATTGAATTGTTATCTGTGTTATGCCTGAACTGAAGGGTAATTCAACAGTCGGTAAAAGATCCAAAAGACAAGTGAGCAAATTCACAAACAGAATAATAGTTTTCTACCAACTTAAATGACACTTAAGTTGAGTACTGTCAAATGGGATAATAAGGGACAATTTTGAGCAATTTTTGTTAACAACTTCTTACCATGAAATATTCCATAAATGAGTTTGGGCTCATTTTAAAGCTCTTTGCGAGGAATGTTGTATGGCATTCCCAAAAAAATTCTATATGCAATTAGTAAGGTGCCAGACACAAAATAAAAGCATCCTGAATTACCCCTGGGAACAGGATAATCTGGGACACTTGGAATAAAACTCAATGTTAAATGTTTGAAGCATGTAAAGTGTACTCATCCATTACTAACAGTACTCTGAAGTCCTCCTCTTCTTTTGTAGATGATTGAGATGTGGAATAAATTACATTTTCTTTGATTTTTGTTTGTTTTTCATTTATTGGTATGTTATTACCATTTCCAAACATTACTGTATTATTGATGTAATATTACCATATCCATGGACATGCCATTGGGCATTGACAACAACCTTGTCCACTGTAAGCTTCATATCATCAGGCAGCAGCCATATAGCATTTCTTCTGTATCTGTAAGCTTACAGAATGGTTTGTAATTTCACGCCTTTTAATTGGGTCAAATGAATTCACTATAACAAAAAAATGCAACTCAGTGCTCACTGCAGTGAGTGACAGAGAGCGCATTTTCTCGTTGACAAAAACGTGAAGTCACGGATGGACAGACAAACAGACAGAAATGGCAAGCACAATAGCACCTTCTTTCCATATATGAGAAAATGTGCTAAAAATACTGTAAAAAGTGTACCTTAAACAAAAAGGAATATTTTAGTGACAACCATCATATTTTTTGGAGAAATATATCATAGTTTAGGTTAATTACTCATTCTATGTTGCCTGGCGCACAATTCTATCTATGACATTATATGCACAATTTTGTGATGACTAATGAGGCATTTTCGTTGAATAAAATATTTTTTGCGGAGCAAGATAAATGTAATAAAAATTTTTTGTTGCAATTGATTTTTTGGTTAACTGGAGCCTTTGCTAGCTGAGGTTCTACTGTTAATGCATTTTTATGGGTGTCCCTTATTACCCCAGTTGGGGTCTTTTATTACTTGTCTTGTGGAAATGGCCACCATTTCTTTTGGAATGAGATATGCAAATTCCCTCAATCCCGTTTTTACGCCAACACCTGCATGCAACTTTTATGCAAGTTTAATTTTTTATTACGGCAAATTTTTTTTTTTTTTTTGCTGCAGACCTTAGCAGGGATACATTTTCAAAATCTCACTTTTCACACTTTCTTTCAGGGATTTTTTTTTACAGGTAGTAAATGTATGATTTCTAAATTTGCTTTATGCTATGTAGATAATAAAAATGTTTAACTTTTTGCCACTATTTTTAGTATTGCAAGATTTTTATTGGTTTAGCTGCTACAACATTTCCACGAAATGTGGGACAACTGTCCTGATTTACCCTGCCATCCCTTATTACCCCATTTGATGATACTTTACTGAAATTTCACTTTACACACTTTTTGTCAGGAATTTTTTAGAGGTACTGTCAAATGGAGTAAAAAGGGACGGGCTGGGTAATAAGGGACAGTCCTCCAACATTTTGTAGAAATGTTGTAGCAGTTTAACTAAATAAAATATTGCAAAACTAAAAATACTGGTGTAAAGTTCAACATTTTTACTATCTATGCAGCATAAAGCAAGTTAAGAAATCATACAATTATTATGGTACCTCTAAAAAATCCCTGAAAAAAAGTGTGAAAAGTGAGATTTTGGAAAAGTACCTCTGCTAAGCTGTAGCAGGAAAAATATTTGTCGTATTGAAAAATTTTACTTACATAAAAGTTAAACACTAGTGTTGGCTTAAAAATGTGATTGACAGAATTCGCATATCTCATTCCAAGAAAAAATGGTGGCCATTTCCACAAGACGGGGTATTAAGGGACACCTCTTAAATTGCATTTACTGTAGAACCTTGGTTAGTAAAGGCTCCAGGTAATGAAAAAAATCGATTAACAACAAAGAATTTTGATTACATTTACCTTGCTCAGTGAAAAAAATTTCACTTGATAAAAATTACAGCATCAGTCATCACAAAATTGTGCATAGAATGCCACAGATAGAATTGAGCACTAGGCAACAGAGAATGAAAAGTAATTAACCTAAACTATGATTTATTTCTCCAAAAATATGATGGTTGTCACTAAAATATTCCTTCCTGTTTCAGGTATGTTTTTACAATCTTTTTTGTTATAGTAAAATCGCTTTGACTCGATTAAAATTGAGCGAAATTACAAACCATCCTGTAAGCATACAGATACAGAAGAAATGCTACATGGCTGCTGATATGAAGCTTGCAGTGGACAAGGTTGTTGTCAATGCTCAATGGCAATTGGCATGTCCATGGATATAGTAATAGCACATTAATAATACGGTAATGTATGGATAAGGTAATATTATATCAATGAAGAAAAACCAAGTAAAAACCCTGTTTGACAGCAGTTAATTTATGATTTCTTAACTTGCTTTATGCTACAGAGTACAGCCTACATAGTATTAATAATGTTGAACTTCATGCCACTTTTTTTAGTTTTGCAATATTTTGATTAGTTTAGCTGCTACAACATATCTACAACATGTGGGAAGACTGTCCCAATTTACCCAGCCCCACTGTCCCAGGCCCCAGGGTGCAGAAAGTGGGTGAATTGTGAATAGGCTATCAAAAGATTATCGAGACGCATCAGCAGCAAAATTTACGCCTTTGGATCTTGCCAACACATTAGGATTTAAATTTTTGCATTAATGCATTTTAGAAATTATTGCAAATCTGGAAGACCGCAAGCGCAAACAGTAAGGCTTCTGGTACGTCAGAATGATCAGTATGCAGTGAAGCTTGTCTGGAAATCAGTTGCAACGATCAACGATGCAGTGCAATGAGCCACTGTGCAGAGAGTTGATGAATATTGCAAGATCTTTAGCGATGCTTCAGTAGCAAAATTTATGCCTTCAGAAGATCTTGCCGACACATTTAGATTGAAATTCTTTCATTTAATATATTTGTTAGTCTTCGGCCAACTATTTAAAAAAAGTAAGGTTTCCGGTATGTTGGATTGATCAGTAGAAATTCAGTCAAGGATGGTGGGAACGACTGCATGAGCACCATCCCACACGACAGCAGCCGGGTAACTAAAGAGCAGCGTCTTCAGGTTGTCTATTTATGTGCCCGACCAGTAATTTTCGCCCATATTAAATGTTAAAGAACTCCCCCACCGCTAACCCTTTCACGAACTGTCGTCAAGGCATAAATCAATGTACAGAGACGATTCTGGTCAGAATGATAGGTCAGAATGTCAGCTTTGAAGTGAGACTTAAAACCGAAAAAGTGAATTTTACGATTTTCATCCCAGAAATTCAGGGCGTAAAGGGTTAATTAAAAGCATAATTAAGTAGTGTTCAATATTCATTAGTGTTCTAATTCAAAGCCGTCTTGTATTCCAATACAGCTCACACAGCAAACGGAATTCAAACACGTTGATGACGGCATTACGTATCAGTAGAATTTGAAGCGCGGACGGAATACGCCTCACCACGTGCCGAATATTGCCACACACAGTGACAAAATATAGGGATTTGGTAGGTTTGCATTCTAAAGGCTTTTACATAAATATGGCAACATTTTGTGACGTTTCATCGTTGCCGACGCGTACTACGGTGTTTTGAGTCACCTAAAGCAAACAGAACTTGAGTAACGCATACGGTTATTTTTTTATAGTTTTTCATTTCTCGATGCGTCCTTAATGTGATGGAATATACCGCGTTTACCCTAGTTGCGGTCACATTAGAGTGGTCAGACTGCATTATCACATGTTCAGTTGACACTGGCTGTACAATCGGACTTTTTTTATGGTAAAATTAGTTATTTGGGGTAACACGTGCATGCAACCTTGTAAATAAGTTTGTGGCTTATAAATAGTTTTTCATTACTCAGCGTAAATGGCTTTTCATTAAAAATTACCCGGCGACGCATCTTAAAAGTACCCGGCGACGCTTAGGGCTTAAAAACCCATATATTGGCGACGCTGCATCCACCCTCTGCACCATGGGGCCGCAATGAGTGCATGGCGAGTAGGGTAAACGCGGTATATTCTGTTACATTAAGGACGCATCGAGAAATGAAAAACTATAAAAAAATAACAGTATGCGTTACTCGAGTTCTGGTTGCTTTATTTGACTTGCAAAACACCGTACTATGCGCCAGCAACAACGAAACGTCACAAAATATTGCCATATTTATTTAAAAGCCTTTAGAATGGAAACCTACCAAATTCCTATATTCCGTCACTGTGTGTGGCAATATTCAGCATGTGGTGAGGCGTATTACGTCCGCGCTTCAAATTCTACTGATACGTAATGCCGTCATCCACATGTTCGAATTCTGTTTGCTGTGTGAGCTGTATTGGAATACAACACGGCTTTGAATTAGAACACTAATGAATATTGAACACTACTTAATTACGCTTTGAATTAACAACCATTAAGCTTTTAATTAAGCAAATTTTAATTTTTGTACACAGCTTGGAACGATCTGTGTGTGTCCAATTCAAGTTGTGACGGAATTAGTTTTCATGTGTCTAAATCCATTTCTCAACTTATTCATCTATTAATTTATTTACCACTTGAAATCAGCGAATAGGTACAAGTAGGTATACTTAAAGGATTCCTAATATATTCACAGACGTATTTAAAAGTATCAAACCATAATATTTTTCCCATACAAACAGTTATTCACTATTTGGTAGAGCAAGGTCAACTGTCAAATTTGACACATTTTTCGATGATCTCACTGGGTAGCGTGCATTGTCTCTCTTTGGATCTCAATATTTTCCCACTAGATGGCCAAGACCTAGTGTTTTGGCATTAGTTTGACGCGCAAATGTATGACGTCACCATTTCAACCATCAACAAACGCATGGAACTAAAACAAAGCTTAATACAAAGGAAAAACTAAAGAGGTAACGGAATTACCCACAATGACGGAATATAC